GATGATAAACACAAAAAGAAGATCTAATTCAAAAACGTATTGTCCTGTAACTACTCTGCTGTACTGTCAGTAATTGTAATGGCAGTGTGGTTTAACTGCTGCACTGAACCAATAAGGATTAGAGCATTAGCTTATTGCCTAAATGTAAAAATGTAAATTCACTGACAAAAAAATATGGTCAATAATTGCTGCTATAATTAACTTGCAAATCAATTTCATTTTAATTAATCTTAATATAACATTATTCAAATTTAATAACATCAATTTTCAGGTACATTTAACTGCATGTTTCAAACTCATTTGAATATTAAAGGGCACCTCCACAGATGTAGTCATGAGCAGTGGTTCCCTTCTGTGGCTCTGGAGTAATCTGAGAAAATATAAAGGGTTATTTTGGCTTGGGTGTGGAGACTGCATCTTTTTTTAAACAGAAAACCTGTGTTTCAAACTAGGAGAAAGTATCCTGATGTGGGTCAAACGAAATGTTCCATGGCAGTATTTTACGTCCAAAGCTTTCCTGACATGTGTGTGTGTTGGAAAAGGAATGGAGTGTTGCAAAATCGTAAGATTAGTTCATAGGTGTAATTTGAACCTAGTTGGCCTAAAGTCCTTCTGCACACTGTCTGTCAAAGTAAAGGTGAGGTCGACAGGAGGCGGGGCACCTTCAGCATGCTCTACATATTATGTTACCACGGCAACTACAGGATACTTACTGCATGTTTTCATCAGCCAACCACAAAACCTGTGTGACCTGATAATAACCACACATGAGAAACACAAAGGCGATAACCAGATAAACAGAAGTTAGGTTGGAAGGATGGCAGGTAGTTAAGGGAGTGGCACAGCTAGGGAAGACAGCTGACAGTAGAGCCGCGAAGATTATTGGATTAGATGTCAACTTTCTAATTAATTACCAAGGCAAGACAGATCAGAGAGCCAGGTACAGTGAGGGACAGATACAGGGACAGCACAGATAAAGAGAGGTAGCTTAGCCAGACATATACAAAGTCAACAGGTACAAAGACAGATACTGTAGGTTAAAAAAGATGGACGGGTGGGCTGGTCAGACAAGGGCCTCTGGATTGTTTCATTTACACCACTGGCACACAACAGGAGATTTTACATTTCAGAAGCGATCTTACTAAATGAAAAAAACTCGGTTTTAGGCAAGTCCGCAACCAAGTCTCATGCTGTACCTTGAATTTGTCTGTTGATTTCATTGATACATGCGGAAGTTTCCATTATGTCGTCCCTCAAGTTGGACATTTCTGTTCCATGATAAAAACGTCATCTGCATGCCCACTTTCTTGCTATTCATTATATATTCACACATGGGCTCATTTTGACATTACACAGACTTTGAACCATGGGAGCTGGTGGGGTAAAGTTTGTCTAACATCCAGTTTGAATGATTCAAATACTTGCTTTCTGGCGTTCAAGCTGTGGCGGCACTAGGGGGTGGCTACTTGGGCTCAAGCCCCGGATGTTTTCTGAAAAGCCCCGGATGTTTCACTTTTTTTTGGTTGAAAATGTCTCGGGAGTAATGTGCAGTACCGGAGTCCACCAGAGAGGCAGCCGCTGCGGGACATTAGCCTGCGTACTGCGTAGCCTTCCCTGCCCTGAAGAAGAAGTGATCCTTCCTAGTGCCTGACGAGTTTTAAGCTAATAGCCTCTAAAGTTATGGATTTTAGAAAGTTATTGTCATCGAAGCAGGCGCCACAAGCTGCAGCAGCAGTATCAGCAGCTGACAACAATGTCATCACCAGCAGTGAAGAAATGGATGATGTTTCAGGTTTGTGAATCTAATGGTGATATCTGCACTCTGGCTGACTGAGTAAGAAGTGAAAAAGAGTGATGTAACGTTAATGTTATAACTAGTAAACATGGAGTAACCACACTCATGCCCCTTTCACACCAACGCGTTTTCAGCTCCGGCTCGGAGCTGGAGCCTGAAAAGTGCCAGTTTTTCCTGTTCACACCGCATGGCGCCGCCTCTTAGCTCCGGAATCCGGTTCACTTCCAGCTCCAAAAAATTGTCGGTCCGTCTAGAGCAGGGGTGCCCAACCTTTTTTTAACCGAGAGCTACTTTTAAAGTTGCCAGTCTGCCGAGAACTACCAGTCCAATTAGAGAGGCGTAGCCATTACTGACAGCCTACTACCAGGTAAATACACACTTCTACTTGTATAAAACTGACCTTTGTACAATTAATACTTCATAAAATACTGCAGATCCTTTATCTTACCTCTTTCTAATCTACACACACATACAAGTATTTAACTGAAGTTACACAACAGTGTTGTTGATACAGAGTTGGAGTGTATTCACACGTCACATACTACAGTGGGTAATGTTTTCAAGAAACATTGAACAGTGCTGCCACATATGACACAGGAAAAAAATAAAAGACTCTGAACCCTTTCTTTGCCATTATATAAAAATAGTGTTGCTACAAAAGTATACATTAGGCTTACTAATAAGACAACTCAGATCTGAAGCTACACAGGAATCTGCTGCAACAGTGCAATACAATCTTTTTTTTTTAATAGAATCAAACCCTTTTTTTGTTGCATTTTAGTAGAGTATACAAATAAATGCCTTTAAAATAGGATGCAAGCAACACTAGTTTCTTAACCTGAATTGATAATAGACTATAATCAATTTAAGTTTGCATTCTTATACCATTTTGTACAATAATTATAATGAATAAGTTCAAACAAACTAAAACTTACAGCAGATTAATAACGGTATCTAACTTGAGTTTTTATTATATAAAAAACCTGTTGAAATGCTTCTGTTATTTTTATTACGCATCGGCAGCCTCCAGGAATGCTTCTTTCACAACTTGTGTTTCGCAAGAACGTGACTGACACGATAATATGCTATGATAGCAGCCTTGCTCTTGTTGTTGGGCCTGGTGAAAATGGACTGCTGTGCATTTAGCTGTCCTTTCAGGCCCCTCCCCTTTTGGGAGCGTAGGGCAGAATTAGGAGGGAATTCCGTCTCGTAGCGTTTGTGCACTGTTTTGAAATGCCGCTCCTAAATTACCCTTCTTCGATAAAGCCACGCTCGCATTGCAGATGAGACAGATGGACTTTGAATTGGAATAGATACAAAAATAATCATCCTCCCACTCGGAGTGAAAATTATATATGTTTTGCTTCTGCCATAATTGCGGTCTTGTGTGTGTGCGGACTGTCACTCCTGTTGACACGGACAACGTAAGCGAACTAGTGCACACTGCCCACTGCTCACCAGCCACGCCCCAACACATGGGGTCACGCCGGCCAATCACAAAGCTTTGATGCGTTCAATTGCATTATTCTGGCACAAGAAGATTATGTTACAGGACATTAACGATAAAACAGAATATTGTTGTTCTATTTTTAGACACATCTCGCGATCGACTGGGAATCTCCCCGCGATCGATCGCGATCGACTGGTTGGGCACCCTGGTCTAGAGGCAAGAGCTTCGGAGCTAAGAGGTGGCGTCGCTTACGTCTCTCCAACCCGGTATCACGGCAAGATGTGAACATGTGACGATTTACCATGCTGGGAGACGTGAAGATGTCACGATTTCGTCCCCTTCAAACGTGACAGCTACACGGTATTGTTAACCCATGTTAACCAGTGGAGAAATAACCGGAAATACCAAGCAAATGCTACCCCGACGTAATGATTTATTTTGTAATAGTCACACTCGATTACGGCGATTTTCTTGTTGCCCCAGCTGTCGACACCTCTTTTAGCAGAAACAAAGGCTACATTAATGTATTAAATCGATGTTAATCCGTGCGTGTGGATGTGGAATTAACGGACGTGACGTTGTGCGATTGAGTTGCCAAGCAACAGCTTCGGTTCATGTTAATTTACAAACTATTCAACTACAACCGTAGTTATATTTAAAAACATGTTAGAAGGCCTCACAAAATACTTGAATGCACATTAAAATGTAAATGTGAAGGAATGTGTGTATAGTCATTAAACGAAACCGGAAACAGACGTAGGCAAGATCCTCAGCTCGATGATTGGATGGTTATCCGCAATGCATGCTGGGATTTGGTGTTTATGTGATGTGAAATCTGAAAACGTTTTTAAAAAATACAATAATACTTTATTCCGAGTGTGCTTGCTTTTCTCTTTGAAAGTCATCACATACCGGCTCTCGTTTTAGTACACATAACAACGGAACCATAGCAACGGAACTGACAGGCAACGGAACTGACAGGCAACTTGTAAAAAATAGCACCCCCCCCCCCCAACAACTCCTGGGCTAAGCCCCGGATCTCCTACAATCTTAAATCCGCCACTGGCGTTCAGGTGCTTTGGGTAATGTCTAGAACATTTAAGGGAAGTAGTGCATTACGTACAGTGGTCAATCAGAGCAACGAAACGTTGGGTCTGCGTCATGCCTTACTGATTGAGATCAGTCGGAACTAGTGTTGCACGGTGTACCGATACTTGAAAGGTACCGTGATACCCTGCCGTTAAAAACGTTACGATTCCTCCGTTTCATTAGTATCGGTACTTTAAGAATGACGGGGGAAAGTACTCTGGTGAGAAAGCGCTGTTTTAATAAGAGCCGTGTGTGTTCAGCGCTCTGCTTCCACTCCCTGCACTGCAGCCGTGCCTGCAGTCCCTCCCCTCTCAAGCACGCTCTAAGTCCCTCCCCTCTCTCGTGCACGCGCTAGTTGCCAGAATATGTGAGAAAGCGAGAGGCATGGCTGCAAGTGGGAGTGCAACTGCCGCTGCGCCTCGGCTTGTTGACAAAAAAGACACCAGAAGCAAAAAACTAAAAAGTTGTTTATAGATTATGCTTAATTGTATTCAACACTGAAACAACTGAGAAGTTGGCCTCTTGGATATCATTTAACTGATTATATGTGCTCAACATAAACAATTCATGTTTGACCAAAAAACGTGATTATATTGTGTTGAGATAACATTAAGCTTAACATCATCCTCTGAAATAGATTCAATCACATTGCCCTGAAGCGTTTCAATTGCACCGGAAGATCAGAGGGGGCGCTATTAAGCGCGGATGGAAGTTCTCCTCTCCCTCTTCTACCAGTGTTACTTGTTGATGGAAGCATTCTCTCAGACACACGGTAAGAATATAAATCCTCAATCCATCCATCAAAACGTTATAAGGTTTAATTTCCATATCAGTAGGCCTAATGTGTTTGTCATCGTTCAAAAGACGAACTTGTTAGGGAATGTTAACAGCGTTGCTGTTTGCTTAGCTAAGCTAGTGCTAGCGCTGGTTAGCACTAGCTAGCGCTGCTAGCCTGGTCATATTATAAGTAAAAACCTTGATTCTGTCCATCACACAACGGTGTTGCTTCCCAACATGTCGCCAGGTGTGTAAAGTAAAGGTACATCAGTTGAAAGCAGAAGTTCAATAAACATCCCAATCCCCTATGCTGAAGTTGCAAAAACATCACGATCTTATGATCCAATTCTATCAGTTTCCCAGTTACACAGGGACGCGGGAAGTCAGTCAGAGTTGGGTGTGCGTGCAACGTCTCGCAGCGGAGTAACCGGCTGTTACTGTGTGTTAACTGTGGTGGGGGGGGGGGGGGGGGCTGCGAGTGGAGCCTCGCAGTTTTTCAGGTTGATATGTGAAGCTCATTAGCTAGCCAACATGTATCTAGCAAATGTTTAGCAAAATATTAGAAGTGAGGCTACTAGACTAACGTTAGGTCTACTGTAATAGCCTCACTTTTAATATTTTGCAAAACATTAGCTAGCACTAGTGTTTTGCAGTTGCTAGCAGCTTATTGGGATTTTATGCTAGATAGACAGGCATTGTTTTGATATAATGAATTAAGCATTATTGTTAGTTAAGGCTGCAGCCTGCAGCCCCACTTCTTCTCTCTCTCTAACTCATTGCAGATGGCTGCACTAAAGAAAAGGGCACAGAGAGGAAACCAGTTGTAAGATGTTTAAAAGTTCATTAAACATAATATATGCTTAAATGCATGTCAAAGAAGTTGTATTGGAGTTTGTGTTATTCTACATTTTGACATCAAGATTTTCTGATTTAAGAGCTTCACCGCATAACTAGCTCTCTGTATATTCCGATTACCGATAATGTTTTGGGTCAAGTTTTTCAGAAGCACAATCTCCAAGTTGACCGATCTATCATAAAGGAAATAGCCAGTACTTTGTGCACAGTTAACCCTATAACTAAAGCTATACAGAAAGGTGGCACTCTGTGTTCTGCATATCAACGTAAGCAATACTATAAGGCTAACTTCAAAGTTGTTGAGCCAATTGAATATTTTCTGGATATTAGAAAAAAGAAAACCTTTCAGTATGTTCCCATTCTGGAATCCCTGCAAGTGCTCTTGAATAGGAAATATGTTTTGGACCTTGTAGTTGGTAATCACAGACCACAAGCAGAGGCAGAAAATCAGAATCTGTATAGGTCTTTCAGGGATGGCCAACATTTTAAGAAAAATGATTTCTTCTCAGGTGACGAGTTAAGAATATCTATTGGATTGTATGCGGATGACTTTGAAGTCTGTAATCCTCTGGGCACCTCCCGTAAGAAACACAAATTTTGTGGTGTATACTGGGGGCTCAGTAACATACCCCCAGAATCCAATTCCTCTTTGGCCTCCATTTACTTAGCCATTTTATACAAAACAGATGATCTAAAGAAACATCGCTTGGAAGTTTTAGAGCCACTGCTAAAAGATCTCAGGGCTTTGGAAGAAGAAGGCATATTTGTTTCGGAGTTGGGAACAACTCTGAAAGGTACAGTTCAAACTGTTGCAGCAGACAATTTGGAAGCTCACTCACTTGCAGGCTTCATTGAATGTTTCACAGCTCATTATTGTTGCCGTTTTTGCATTGCAAGTAACGCAGACTTCCAATCACAAGAAGTGGGAGCAGGAAAATTCAGCCTCAGAAGTAAAGAGCAACATGAGGCTCATGTAAGGTCAGCTGAAGAGAGTGGCACTAGCAGTTTTGGAGTAAAACAAGCTTGTCCTTTGACTAAAGCTCTTTCTCATTTCCATGTCCTCACTGGGTACCCTCCTGACATTGCTCATGATATCTTTGAGGGCGTTGTACCTGTTGAACTTGCACTGTGTCTCAAATTATTGATATCCAAGAAGTATATTACTTTGGCCGACATAAATAATGCCATTCTGAACTTCCCCTATAAGTGGACTGATAAAACTAATAAGCCTCATATTGTGCCACAAAATCTTTCAAGCAGGAAATCCATAGGTGGTAATGCACATGAAAACTGGTGCCTGTTAAGATTGCTCCCGTTTCTAATAGGGACTAAGATTCCTGAGGGCGAGCCAGCATGGCTGGTTCTGATGGATTTAAAAGAGATTATGGAGCTTGTTGCTGCGCCAGTCCACAATGATGAGTCCATTGCTTACCTTGATTGCAAAATCTCAGAGCATAGACAAAGATATCAGGAGCTATTTCCTGAAAATAGACTGCTGCCTAAACACCACTACTTGGAACATTACCCCAAATTGATTAGGTTGTTTGGACCTCTTGTGGGACTTTGGACTTTAAGATTTGAGGCAAAGCACAGTTTTTTTAAGAAGGTTATTAAACATACCAGTTGCTTTAAAAATGTGCCGCTGTCACTGGCTGTGAAACATCAATTCATGATGGGGTACCACTTGTCATCTCCAAGTCTTGATAAACCAACGCTAGATGTGTCAAGTGTATCTACGGTCCCATTAGATATCTTGAAGGAGGAGATAGCTCAAGCTGTTAAGCAAAGATACCCTGACCTATCTGAAATCCATCTGGCTAAAAATGTTTGGAGCAAGGGTATAAACTACAGAGTAGGGATGGTAGTTCCACATGGGTCTGAAAGTGGCCTACCTGAATTTGGGGAAATTAGTCAAATATGCATTTTGGATCAGAGATTGTGTTTCATTTTGAAAGACCTGTGTGGATGGTATAATGAGCACTATAGAGCCTATGAGCTGACTCCAGCTCCTACACGAGGACTGAATCTTGTAGAAGTAAATGAACTTGCCGATGGTTACCCCCTGGCTGACTATCGGGTTGGAAATGTACGGATGGTGACCTTGAAAAGGTCAATATGTCTGTGATAAGGTAACAAATTAAATGTGTATTGTATGGGTCTTCCTGTCTCTCCAGCTCTTAATACACAACAATAAATGTCAGATTGCTGTACCAATTTAATCCAATCAGGAGGAAGGACTCGTATAGGATAAACGAGTGAAATTGGAAGTGATGACGTAAAGAAATAAGCAGACAAAATGGAACTGGAACACTATAAAACAAGCTGATAAATGGTTACTCTTTGCTGATGAGTTCAAATTAGCTACCAACCTGAAAATGTATTTTAGTTTATTAGAGCTGGAGAGACGCGTAGACCCCTATTAGTGAACAACACTATAGCTATGATTTCTATCACTAATTTCACATTTTTCAATATAGCCACAGTCCTGTGTGGTGAAAACATGCCTGTGAAGATACTGTTATTAATACTAGTGCTTTTTTCAGGTTAATTCAACTTTGAACAAAGTTGCCTCTTGAATTGACTACAACTTGTATCATGAGTGTGCTTTTCTTTCTCCTTAGACAAAGAAGGTGGACCATGGCAACCTCGGCAGTTCTCAGAGTCATCCTGGGGGAGAACAGCAGCCAGAGAGTGGTCCTTCCCTTGGGCCTGCCAGATACCGTGACTGAACTGGAGAATGAGATAAGGAGGCAGTGTCAACTTCAGGACCTGTTTCGACTGCAGTTCATGGATGAACTTTTTGGAAACATCTTCCAGGACTTGACTTCCATGGAAGAAATACAAGACAGAGCTACAGTCAAAGTGCTGTCCCTCAGACCTGTTGTTGCTGTGAGCTGTGACAATGGCCCATTAACTCCGACACACGTTCCTAATCACGCTGGTGAACCCTCATCCGTTTCACCTGCTGACACTACTGTGATGCTCTCATCTCAAGAGTCCGTTTCCCCTAGGTCTTCTTGGCCAGAGGTATTCCACATTCCCCGTTTTACTTATGATGCAGAGCTGAAGCTTGAGCAGGCCAACCAAGTCTACAGAGAAGAAGGGACGCGGCTGATCCCTGATCCAAAGCTGAGGTCTGACATACTTCAGGGTTTGAACTAGGAGATAGTCCAATACAAAGTCTATTTCGCAGACATGGATGCTGAGAAAATCGCACAGGCGCTCATCCAGAAACATCCTTGCTTAACAGAGGTAGCCTCTGAGACTGGATATTCTGGATGGGTAAGGAGTATTAAAAATAAGCTGTCCAATTATCGCACAATTCTCCGGAAGATGGGATGTCGGGAAGTGACTGTAAATGCCTTGAAGCACAAACCAGATGGCAGACGCAGTCCTGCCTTTGCTGTTAAGAAGCCAAAGAGAGGTGAAGTGGCTTGCTGCCCCTCCTTTCTGAGTGGAGAAGATGACGATTCACTGGAAAACATCAGAGTTGAACTTCTGTCTGATATCAAGAAGCGTAACAACAGAGAGACTGTTAAGATGAAAATGCAGAGAACATTCGCTTTAAGAAGACACGAAGCCATTGGTTGTGATCCCATGATCAGCGACTTCACAATGAGATGGCCAGCTCTCTTTGATGTGACTGAGGTTAGTATGAACTAGTGACCGTGTATGTGACTTATTGTGTAAACGCTGTGCCATATTAATGAAAATTGTCTCATAAAGCCATATGTGTGCTTTCAGATTAATGCTGAGTTCAAACGGATCACCACAATTCCTCTGCAGTCTAAGTTCCTATCACAGCTGGACCTGTACTCTGCAAACCTGCTGAAGATGTTTGAAAGCACAACTGGGCAGAAAGGGAAAAAACTGAAAGCGTTGACTAACAACATGGACACAGTAAGTTATCTGATACTTTAGTAGATGTTTAGGTGGGCAAGTGAAAGGATGTCGCTAGACATGAAGCAGGAAGTGAGGCTAAACACAGGTCAGAGTACAGTAATGTCAGCCTATGGAATCCTCTGGGTGGGACCCTGTGGGGACACCCCGGCTTTCTCCTCTCAGATACTTAAGTCTCGTTAGTCGCCAGACTCCTCATCCATCAACTTGATCTGGTTCACCATATCAAGTTTTATAACGTGTAGATAGCCATTATTGTTTTGGCGTCCTTGACATGAAAAAGTTTGAGCAACACTGAAATATAGCAACATAATTTTGTCAGGAAACGGTTTTAGAATCGGCCTCAGGTCTTACTGGGTTAAGCTAGGTGTCTAGCCCAAGTTTAACCTGTGGACCGTGGTTCTTATTTTTTAGAAAAGAGTCACTCTGGCTTGTCATTGTTCCACCCATTGCTTTCCTTTGAGAGTTCAGGGGGAGGTGTGGGGTGGGTGGCTATAAAGTATGGAACTTTGTTGTGGTCCTGGTCATAAATAGAATGTTCTAAAAGGGAAAGGTGGCCATTGGAGCAGGATTTGTGTTGATGATAGTGCATGCACAGCACCATTTATAAAAAAATAAAAATAAATAAATGTATTGCCAAACATGTGCTGCAAGGACCTTATGTATTTGAGTTTTAAGTGTGTATTCTGTTCTTCTGTCACTCATCTTTCAGGATGACATTGATGCGGGAAGGGACCTCCTAATTAAAGGACTCTGCCTCTACCTCAACGAGGATCCTGGAGACCTTGTGCAGGAGTTCATAGTAAGTGACTAATTGTAAACTGTATACATGTGTACATCTTAGATTAAGAACCAGAGAACATTCTCTGTCATTAGCTCTTATTTAGCTGAGCACTCAGACAGGCAGTGTTCTGTTAACTCTGCTCAAGTGTGATGCTACTCAAATTAACTGTACTGTAGTTGAATTACATAGTTGTGACTTAAACACATACTAAAATGCTAAATACTGCTAAAAGCACTGACTAATTATTCTATCACTCCTTTAGTGACTCTGCATGATTGCTGATTATTTAACTAACGACTAAACTGTTGGCTGAGAAACATGGGCTTCTAATGATTGCTTAATCTCCCATGATGGTCATACTTTACACATGACTTAGTTGCACACCAGTGTCTCACCGAAAATAGCTGATCTACAACCTCACAACACGTTGTGAGGTTGTAGATTTCGGTGCCAGACAACCAAGTGAAATCAGACTTGATCAAACCACTCTGTATAGTTATGAGAAATAAGCTAAAGTGACACAGCCTCAAAGCATATGCATCTCATTAACTACAGATAAATGGAATTCACAAGCTAATCAGAGCTATATTACAGTCTTGACTCATGGTTGAGATTCCTGTGTTGAATGCTGGTCTCATGAATGCTTTTTCTTAACTAATAATCCTTTTTGTGAACACTAGGATGTGGATGAGACGATCGTTGAAGGTGCGATTGAGAAGACCACCATGGGGATCTTCACCCTAAAAAACACCGCCAGTGAGGACGATGTCAGAATTGTCCTGGAGGGGGTCACAGTCATACAAGATCTGGAGACTGTGGCTTTTGCATCCGCCATGTTGTTGGGACTGATTTACTCTCTGAACCTGAGTTACCCAAAAAAGCTCAGCTGCACATTTGAGGTACTGCAGAAGATCATAATGGAGTTGGATGGTGGGGTCCTCTCCTACAAAGCACAAAGCTTGAAGACCAAGCTACACCAGTGTGAGTAATGCTCACTGGTGGGGGGTGAAGGGAGGGGGGGGGTACTCAGACATTCTACCAGTCTTTGAAGAAGACTGTGTCAAAGAATCTCACAGACTCTTGTTTGCCTCTTTAATATCTTAAAGTTGACCAAAACATGTCATGTTTTATACTAATAATGGCCAAAGTTTAACATAATAGTTAGTATAAATAGTGTTAGTTAAAGTGGTTCAAATCTAAAATGGCACTTTCCCAGTTTTAATGGGTTTGATGTTTTTATGTGCCTTATGTCCGTTCTCACTCACGGCCCAAATAAGTATAGAAATGTATAAATATATATACATATTCTAACCACTATTCACATTAGAAAATACCATGCATCTTGTTCCATATGTTTGAACTGAATTAGTCCTGGAATTTGAAGAAATGCATTTTAACAATTTTGCCTCTGTTTGAATACAAGAGAAAACCACTCTCAAACTGAATCTCTCTCAAACTGTGAATCTCTCTCTGAATGTGACTAATGGGGAAGACAAAAAAAACCTAATGTAAAAGAAGAATACATATATGTAAACTAACAGGCGGGTGTCTAAAATTAGCTAAAATGTATTAAAAAAAGAATGTTAACATGTTTATATTGTTGTTTATAAAGCAATTTTGCTCAAGTGTTTTACACAAAGGTATTCAAAATGTTTATTTGATGCAGTGTTTTACATAAAATATGTTTGATACATTGATACTTTACATAATGCACTTTACTGTATTCCCCTGCATTTGAAATAAAATGTATTTGCACTGTTTGAATTGTGTTGTACTAATATGATCATATCATGTATCTAGAATAATGAACATGACTGAATAAGGTTGCCAGAACATGATTATAACATTTAGAAATCAATGGAATGCTGTTAAAATAACATGACTGAATCATGTTGCCAGAACGTGATTTAAACATGTATGAATAACTTTGTTCAATTACATTAGGTTAAGTTAATATTTATGTGTTTAACCTACGCAACTGGATCGAGTGCTGCCAAAGCAAACGATTCATGTGCAACCAATGTCCACTATTCAATCACTTAGATCCAACGACTTATTTGTTTCAGTGAATACAAATTCTTGTCATATATTTTATTTATTGTTCTCATTGTTTAAAAGTGTGTGTTCTGGTTCTGGTGTGAAATAAAGCACAATAATTACATTTAAGACTGTTTCCCTTTTTTTAAGAAAAGTACCGAAAAATAATTGGAATCGCAATTCTTGACTTGGTTTCGGTATCGAAACCAAAATGTTGGTATCGTGACAACACTAGTCGGAACCGCCATTCAGTATCTCCATTGGATCTTCAACGTGTACTATCATACGTCACGTTCACAGTGATCCCTTTTTATTTACTACAAGACAAATGTGCTGTTTTATTTCATACAGTTCCATTTTGATTGAGACAGGGAAGTAATCTAAACCTCACGCATGGTGTTTCACTGTCAAGGGGGGCGATAAAGCGTGTATGTAATTACATTGCCAATACTGATTTGAGCCCCACCACTGTATGGGTTAGCCCTACCATAGATTACCCTACAAAAATACTCTGGCGCCGCCACTGATTATGTAAAAAAAGGCTGAAGGTTGGCAGAAAAGTAGTTTACAAAGACAGGTTCAAGGACAGGCAGACTTGTACATAGAGAGATATTTAGTGTGTCAGACAGGTACATAAAGACAGGTAGGTATGTAAACAGTCAGAAAATAGAGGCGGACAGGTACAAAAAGATGGACAGGTAGGCCAGACAGGCATGCACAGAGAGACAGATTGCAGAGACAGGTCAAACAGACAGGCACAAAGATAGAAAGCAGTTTGGTCAGACAGACAATGGTCCCTAGAGGTGCAGAAATAGACATGCAAGTAGTTAGAAAAGTTCGTCAGACAGTCAGGTCTTATGCTTATAATAGCTTTAATGATTGAATTAGTCTGAAAGTTCAATCCAAGTCCTTCTTACATTTCACATTGGAGCTAAGCTGCACCACGGAGCCGTAATCCATTACTTGCCAGCCATTGGATCAAGGTATGTGTGTGTGTGTGTGTGTGTGTGTGTGTGTGTGTGTGTGTGTGTGTGTGCGTGCGTGCGTGCGTGCGTGTGTGTGTGTGTGTGTGGGTGAGAGAGAATATGAGATATGAGAGAGAACTTGTGTGTGTTTGTTTTCATATATTAGAGCAAGTGCTTGTGTGTTCACTTTATTACCCTCCCCTCCACACCCCTTCTCCTCCCTTCCATCACACACACACACACGCACACACACACACACACCTGTGTGAGTGTTTTCAGGTGTATTTGGTTTGGTTAGGAGGGAGGGAGTGGAGTTTGCTGTATTATCGCCCTGAGAACCCTGTGATCTCTAAATGCACCCGCCAAAACCCTGCTGCTTGGAGGAGGGTTTGCAGTCGCAAACACACACACACACACACACACACACACACACAGATGCTAACAGGTGTGTTGTACTGATTTGCTCCTACAGAGTGTGAAATTGCAGAAGGCTTATGTGTGTATGTGTGTGTGTGTGTGTGTGTGTATGTGTGTTTGTGTGTGCATGTGTTGGGGTGCTTTGATGAGAAGTAGTGAAAAGATTCTTCTTGTTGAAGCCTCATAGGGTCTAATCCAGCCTGCTGACAGACCCTCATCCCTACTACTTCCTCAAGTACACACACATTAACACACACACACACACACACACATATAAACACACTGACAGCAGCTGGCCTAGGCCTGGCACAAAAGGTTCAATCCTTAATTGGCAGGTTGCACTTTTTCGAAGTTGGAAAATTCCTGCAACACTGACATGTTTTGCACTTTCTAAGTTAAATGCATAACAAACTTTAGAACTACTTAAAACTCAGGGAAAACGTGCTTGAGATGGCGAATGTATATGTTGTGTTTGCACTCTAGGTATGAAAAATACGAGAATGTGCATTTCAATATCGTTAAAGCAACTGTTTATGCCTGGACAGTATTGATGGATATCTCTAGATGACAAGAATAACATGCAAATAAGACAGCTTTGAATTTAGGCATATATCTCGCTTTTAATTCATGTAAATGCTCGGCGCAGACCATAACATAATTCAAACTTTTCAATGTAGAATATTTTTGAACCAATAGCCTATACAGTACAGTATATTTATTTTTGATGATAGAAAGGTCAATTTATTAATCAATTAAGTAAATGCTGCACTAACTGAATAACATTAAAACATTTGTATTTAGAAAATGTTAAAACAATGTAAATTGGTCATCATGATATTAGTCAATAGAAGTACTGAAAATGTAAAGAGCAAAATACACTTCATAAATTGGATGTAAAATAAAAAGAGAACATTAAATAATATAACAATTAAGACCTAATTAAAAATGGTGACTTAATCAACTAAGTTGTCTCTCTCTTGTGTTCGCTTAAGAAAACTGAAATGAACGACTCATTGGCTTGAGAATGCAATTTGCATGCAGAGAAAGTGCAAATTGGTTGCACAGTTTTAAAACAGTTAACTGTAACTAGAATATACATTCAAAAACGTTAAGGACACATTTAAAAAAGAAGAGCATGACAACATAGCTAGGTAATATATAGAGTTATGTGTGGTGTCCAGACATTATGTTGAGTTCATCTTTGTAGTCTTTGTCCTATGTCGAATCCCAAGTATTTGGAGTTCTTCTCTTTTTCTTTCCTAAAATGCCCTTATGTTCCTTTTATACTTTTGCTTTTAACCTCTGCCACTCGTCAAGCAGAGATACTGAAAGCAGCACACTGTGTGACCCATCCAGTCTGTTTATTATAATATGATATCAGTCTCAGCCATCATTGTCTGCAGTCATCTGGAAAATTCAGCAACTCTTACCTTACTCCGTCCGTCTATCAACACCTCAACCTAACATTATTGTGGAGACACACACACATACACCAAAACAGACAGGACAGGCACATCTGAGGACATGCATGCTTGCACACACATAGGCTGCAGTATCAGAAGAAGGCCACATCCGCCTTCATACAGTACATGAACACACACACACAGTTATTATGATCTTTTCCTCCTTCTATGAACGCAGACACTGTAGACCCATGTTGCTCCAACTTCAAACCAGTTATGTGACACACCATACTCAATAATATCTATACATGTAAATGTTGCTCTGCGCACACATATTGGTAGATGTTTTGGATTCCTTTGTTACCTTTCAGAAACAAGTGTCACTAGTGAAACAATCAGCTTCGAGTAACAATTTAAGTATTTCATCTTTCCAACAGACCTCTTTCTTTCTTTAGGCTTGAAGACGATCAAGCACAAAGGGAGCAACGTTAGCATTCATTGAGTGTTATAATGTTTCTGACCACATGATAAATATGAGTCAAAAACCTACTCACCTTTTCGGGATGTCACCAACTGATTGAGGCTCTACACCTCCTACAGTAAATGCTCTTCTGTATTCAAGTCTCCAATGTAATGATGATCAGGTAGCATACAGTGGGTTAATAATAAGACATGTATACATGTTTATGACTTTCGTGCAATGGAAATTCGAATAGGTCAACCCAACCACATTTACATAACAAGACATGTTCAATTCTCCTCAAGACTATTTTTCATGTTTGAGGAAAGGTGAAGGCTTAGCTGGCTCACCAGGGCACAGCAAGACATGAACACACACACACACACACACACACACACACACACACACACACACACACACACACACACACATATACACGTCACAGCCCGTATTGTGTGATAGCTTGAGTGTTGACTAAGTGGTTAGGAAATATTGGTGTGAGTGAGTGATCGACTGCATCTAAAGTTTCCATTGAGGGTGGATAAACAGTGTGATGTCAGAACAAAAGGTGTGCAACGAAGGTCATACTAACACGTCTTTATAAAATCCACTATCCCCTGAAACATTAGACATATCAATGTGATTATAAGATATGATATTCATTTATAGCAACGTATCATGTTTGGCTGGATAATATCATCATTTGA